CCCTCCCTCCCTCCCTCCCTCCCTCTCCTTCTCTCTATTCCTCAGGCATCTTCTTCTCAACAGTCTCTCTGCAAGGAGAAGAGCACCAGTCCAAGGAAGCGGAAGGCACCTCAACCGCCCACAAGCAACCCCAACCAGGTAGGAGGCCGATGGGCTCAGATACCCAGATGATCCATTAAAGAAAGAGAAGTAGGAGCCCACATATCCCTTTGGATGAAAATGCACCATTTTGGCATGGAGTGGGCCTGACTGGGAATGCCAAGGCTGTTGGCTCAAGCAGGAAGTGGACAAGCATCATGGAAGGTGGAAATGGTTAGATTCTTCCCAATCCAGGGAGTTGGGCAGAGACATATTCTTGAGTTTCTGTCCCTTGTGACATTATGACATCCTCAAGCAGCAGCCATTCCACCCATCGCCCATTGCCCCACAGTCCTGTTTGCAGGCCCAACAACCCCTCATGGCATTGGCCACCAGGAGGTACTCTGTGACCAGTTCCATCCTTACTGGGTCTCATCAGATCTTTGTAGCCAGGTGTTATTCCAGGGCAGTGTTTCTCAACCTCAACTTTGTATGCTGGCTGAGGAATTCTGGGAGTTGAAGTCCATCCGTCTTAAAGTTGAGGAGGTTGAGAAACACTGTTCTAGGAGGTTCAAGCCCTCTACCAGGGATTGAACTCATGGACCTTTGCACTTTAGGTTCAGCTCATGGTTGCACGAATCTCTCAAAGCCAAAACTCCCCTTTTTCTGTTTTGGCACAATGACCACAGCAGCTGGCTTGGAAGTAGCCCAAGGCTGGTGCCAGGCTTGGAAAGGGAGTTTTGTTTCTTGCTGAGCACTTTTCTAATTTATCTGAAGCCTCAAACCACAGGTGAGGCTCCGCACACATTTAAATTTAAAAAATTACATTTTAAAAATTTAAATTGCAAATTTAAAAATTAAAAATGTTGAATGTTAATGCACAGCTCTCAGTCGCATCACGGGTTATTTAGTGGGGGACCAAGTCTGTATCTGGTAACTAGGGTGGGATTATAGTATATCATCTTTATTATAAAGGTATAATAAATGTTCCTTTGAGTTGAGTCCAGCAACTCAGGACAGGGTCCCAGCAGTCTTCATGGCAGTGATTCTGCGATGTTTAGCTCCTGCCCGCTTGCAGGATGGCTTTTCAACTTCCTAGTTAAGGGGTATCCGCAGAGTATGGTCAAAAAAGTCAAGATGGTGACAGTGTGATTGAAGCTGTGCCTGATGTTTATAGGTGTTGTACCCACAATGCACATACAAAACAGGAAAAGCTTCAATCACGCTGTCATCAGCACCTTCTTGACTACATCCTGCAGACACCCCTATTCCCAGCCCTGAGCTCTCTTCTGGCCCATCCAAAGACCAACCAGGGCTGATCTTCCTTAGCTTGCAAAATAAGTGGAAGGTAAGATCTCCCATCTACAGGACAGTTACCTACAAATTAATTTCAGTTTCTTTCTCCTTGGCATTTTGTTTTTTAATTACACCCAAATCTCTTTTGGTTCACCTTTCTCCAAACATCTGCATTTCTGTCTGCCCTTTTGCCTCCTGGACTGATTCCCAAAAATTGTTTTAGTATTTTGTGTTTCCTTGCACCCTGCTGCTCACAGAAAAAAAAAATTAGCGGAGAAAAAAAATGACACAGACATCAGATGCAGAAGCAAGTGGAGGGTCTCCAAGGCATACTTTATCCTTAAGACATTCAAAATTTCAAAAAGGCTGTGGGCTGCTTGCTGCATCTGAGAAGTCATGTATAATTTGGCCCAAACACTGTTAGTATGGCAGTGTCAACCCTACAGGGTAGATCAGTGCTTCTCATCCTTGGCATCTTGAAGATGTGTGGAGTTGAAGTCCACGCATCTTCAGGATGCCAAGGTTGAGAAACACTCGGGTAGACAAACCAGGAAACTGAGTTCACAGGATGATTAGAACCTACTTTATTGAGATAGGCTATAATAATAACAGAATCTTGCAAGTCTCGCTGTGTTTATTTGTTTGTCTAATGGATTTGTGGTGCTGCCAAACTCATCCAATGCGATTCTGGGCAAGTTTTTCCTTCCCTCCCTCTTATACCCCAGGGCATCAGAGACAGCCAGTCTGAGTCTCTTTCTAATACCTTCCTGCCCCACAGGCTTAATGCATGCTTCTTCTGCATCTCTTGTGGTCCTCACAGCTTCTGGATGTCTTCTCCAAGGTCATTTCCACAGGTCCCTACAGCTATGCTTCCATGCTGAGCTTCTTTGATGCAACTTTTGTTGACGTCTACATGATGCCTGCTGTTATTCCCAAGCCGGCCCCCAGTCCCCCCCTCATCCCAGCCACAGCACAACTGCTGATTTAGCCGTCCACATATTCAGTGTTAACCAGCCCAGATTCAACTGCCCACATTCCAGCTCATGGGGTGAGGATCCTGCAGTGGGACTATGACTGAGGTTGGATGCAGGGAAGGTGGTGCAAGAGGATTGGTCAGTCGGGCCTGGATTTTTGTTCGTAGGTGGACCGGGAAGCCTATGAGGAAATTGTGAGGCTACGGCAGGACAGGGCTCAGCTTCAGCAAAGGATCCGGGGACTGGAGCAACTCCGGGAACAACAGAAACAGGAAGTGAGTCTTTGAATACCCTCCTGGATAAAGATGCTTGGAATGAATCTCTCTTGGAAACCCAGCGTCCGCTGGTGCTTGGTGCCTGTCTTCAGCGGTGGAATAGGGTTAAGGGTAATGAAGTGAGGTCATACATCCATGCACTTCCCACAAAGCTTGGATTGATGCACGGGTTTGGGGCAAAAGGAGCCACGTTTCAGAAATTACAGCTGCCCCCCAAGAAATGTTGTCTTCTTTCCACTTTTGTCTTTGCCAAAGGCATGTTATATTTTCTTGGCATTTTATTGTCTGAAAGGACTTTTACCATCGTCTTTTCTGTTCTACCCTGCTGCTCTTTCATCATTTCACTGGGGTTTTATTGTACTTTTACTTTATTTTATCTTCTGCCAATTCCCATCAGAATTGTGAAGAGTGGCTTCAAGAGGTCAGGGAATAAATAAGAAGTCTTCCTGGCAATGACTCTACCCCTTTTTTCCCCTTTTGCCTCTGGTAGCAGCTGGAGTTTCAAAATGGCTCCTTGCCTACTCTGGAGAAGCAGGTGAGTCTTATCCTGGAACAGAAGAACCCAAGACGATAGGCATGTTGTTGAGATCGTGATGTGTCACACACTACAATGTCATAACCCAGGTGATGCAAACAGCATAATGCAGTGTTCCTCAACCTTGGCCACTTGAAGATGTGTGGACTTCAACTCCCAGAATTCCCCAGCCACCCCGGGAATTTGAAGTCCAAACACC